TGCTTTGGATTCTGACCAGCTCATTGATTTTTAGGTGATTTTTTTTCATATTTTCTTCTCTTTGTAAAAGTCAGTCATTGGTACTATATGCAGGTGGTAAACTGCTGTTGGAGCTGAACCGCTTACTACGTCCTGGAGGTTATTTTGTGTGGTCTGCCACTCCAGTCTACCAAAAAATTCCTGAAGATGTTCAGATTTGGGACGGTAAAAAATTTTATTTATCTCAAGTCTAATGCTCCTTCAAATTAGGTTGGTCTTTGACCCTAATGTTCTACAAATTTTGCGGGTATATATGCAGCTATGAAGAAACTGACAAAGTCCATGTGCTGGGAGTCAGTTTCAATCACCAAGGATCGGGTAAATGGAGTAGGTATAGCTATATATCGCAAACCTACCACTAACGAGTGCTACGTGCAAAGGTCACAAAATGAGCCTCCTCTTTGCGAAGAATCTGATGATCCAAATGCCGCCTGGTAAATTTCCTCCATTTCTCGTTTTTTTGCATAGAAATTTGAGTTTGAGCTTTGTTGAGGATAATATGTGGGATATGTGAAGAAATTTGTTGTACATTTTGCCAATACAGAATCACGTTAAGTTCTTCATTGCTTATCCAAGAATTTCCAATATCTTGTAGGAATGTGCCTTTGCAAGCATGCATGCACAAAGTACCAGTTGCCGAATCAGAGCGGGGGTCTCAATGGCCGGAATTGTGGCCTGCCAGGGTGGATAAACCACCATATTGGTTGTCGAGTTCCCAAGTTGGTGTTTATGGAAAACCTGCACCAGAGGATTTTGCTGTTGATTTTAAACACTGGAAGCGCGTGGTCACCAATTCATATGCAAAGGGCCTGGGAATAAACTGGTCTACTGTGCGAAATGTCATGGACATGCGGGCAGTTTACGGAGGGTAAGCTAAATAGTTTCTTATCTCCAACAGTATTTGGTGTGCTGATCATTTGAGGTGATGGAAAATTTCCTTTGATTAACACTAGTCAGATCTGTAAGTATTAAGGTTTGCACCAAAAAAAAAAAAAAATCCAATATAAGTCTCTAGGCCAACTGACAAAGGGATATCGAATTCTATAAATCTTCGCAAGGACCAGTAAGTCGTACTTTTCAACAAATATGTCACGAGCAGTAGCTCTTTAAGACATGTTGTCCATAGTTTATGCTCCCAAACACCGGCAGTTCACAGTTCTATTTTACTGTTTTGGGCATTGAATATTTTCAAATATCATATAGTTGTAAGCTGCATGTACATTTGTTTCTCCACAATATTTTATTTGCACAATTTGACATAATTGTTCTCTCCAGTAAATATGTTGTATAAAATTCTAGCAAAAGTTTTATGAAGTTGACCATATGCTTGAGAATCAGAATTGATTTACTTACGCACTATTTCAATGAAGAAAGTATTAATTGAGCAGCAAGCAAAAGATTTTGAAAGTGTTTCAGACTTTTTGAGAATGTTTGTGAATTATAGTATTTATGTTCCTACATAAGTTCTGTTGGTCTTAAGTGTCTATGATGTTGAAAAGCTGAATTATTTGGAAAGTTTCCACTGTATTTTTGGCAAAAAAAATCCTTTTGACAGTTTGATAAGTTAAATATTAACCTGCTGCAATAAAATACTGATTCTTTCAGGTCTCACATCTTTCAATCCTCTCTCATTCCTTATATGGGCTTATCATTGAAATGTTATGTTTGTCCTTGCAGGTTTGCTGCTGCTTTGAAGGACATGAATGTATGGGTCATGAACATAGTATCCATCGATGCTCCTGATACTCTTCCAATTATTTATGAACGAGGTCTCTTTGGAATGTATCACGACTGGTGTGAATCATTCAGTACCTATCCGAGATCTTATGATCTTCTCCATGCAGATCATCTCTTCTCCAAAGTTAAAAACAAGTGCGTATTGAGCATATCTCACCTATCCACCTGCTTTTGGGAGGCTGCTTTAATCCTACTGTATTATCGAGTCTTTCCCTGTGCATTTCATAATCCTGCTTCTTTTTCTCATCTTTCAGGTGCAACTTTAATGCATTTGTTGCGGAAGTTGATCGTACTCTACGACCAGAAGGCAAGATCATTGTTCGCGACAAGGTTGAGATGATTAATGAACTTGAGAGCATTTTTAAATCTCTGCACTGGGAGATTCGTATGACCTACTCCAAGGACAAGGAGGGATTGCTTTGTGCCCAGAAAACCGTGTGGCGCCCAAAAGAGTCGGAGATAGTTAGTTATGCATTGGCTTAGAGGTGTAGCATATTGTGCTGCTTGCATTCTTTGAGCTCGCACTACACAGAGACTAGATAAAACATTTTGTAATAGTAACTTCTGGACTTAAATCGGGTTTAACTGTATTATTCTTCATGTATTTTGACTAGCCGATTAGTTCTTTTTGTTTTCATTTTCTTGGGTAGAGGAGTTTTCAAGATTCCAAAATGTATGTTATAGTTTTGGAGGAAATCGAACACAATTTATTTTCAAGTGTAAAGGGCCATTGAGACATTGACTCAATTTGGTGGTGAATTCAATTTATGGAAACTGTTGCCATGAAATTACTTTTTGGTCTACTGTTTACCTTACCATACTTGCAGGCTATTCTTGACTACTATCAAGGAATTTTTTTTTTTAAATATCTTTTATTTATACTCTTTGTTCTATATTTGATGGGGCATCTTTTGCCCATGAAATTATCAGTGTGAGTTTATCCTCGAAAAACTATGGGAAAGGTCATAGCTGCATGGACAGCATGCAGGTGAGCAGAATTAAGCTCAATGCTCGACTGGCTCTTAAGGAACTATACTTCATAAACTTGCCTAGTTTTTATGTGAATTCTCACATCCTCGGGAGCTAAAAATAGCATTCTCTCAACATGCAAACGAGACGCTTCTTCCCCAAATTCCGTCTAGTGTATTAAGGGAAAGTATAGTGCTTCCTTTGGCCAAAAAATCTAGAAAAGACAACACTGCACTTGTTTGGTCAGGGTGGATTTGTAATGTCTCACATCAACTGGGAAAGAAGGAAAGTAGAGGTATATAACATCCGGCCCATCGCATTACTAATAATTTTGAGTTAACCATTTTGAATCCGTGATTTTAGTTCAAAAAGATAATGGGCCAATTCGGCGGGCACCAGGACGTTACAAATGATATCAGAGCAAATCTCGCGTGGTCTCTGCAGGAGGTGAGATTGAGACCAAGTGATGTTATGGTTTTGACTATACAAGAAACAAAGTGAAGCTTAGTGCCATGCTCACTAGGGATCATTTCTAAAACCTACGGAATCAAGTGCCACGTCGGGTGGAAGCTACCTCTAAAAATTGTACGAGTCACCTCAAGAATCCGTATACGACTAAATGAACAGTTGGATTGTAACAGGTTTTGTGAGGATGCAAAATTCTAAGATAAAGAAAGTGTAATGTCGATTGGAAAAGAAGGAAAGGAAGGTATATAACGTCCGGTCCGTCGGATTACAAACAATTTTAATTTAACCATTTTAAACCCGTGATTTTAGCTAAAAAAGGTATTGGATCAACCCAAGGGGCGTGGGGCGTTACAACATTATTGACATTAGACCAAAAAAAAAAAAAACTAAACTTGTTCCAATGATAATCCGAGGTGCGCACGCTTTGTTTAGTGAGAAATGTAAATATGCACAGGGCAAATGGCCAAGTCTAATTGTGTGTGTACTTATTTCTGTCTATGGGAAAAAAAAAGGCCAAATCTAACGAGGCAAAAAGTAATCAGGGTCCGAGATTCGACAGCTGTGATTATGATAGACATGGTTTGAGCAATTTGCACAATGCAAAATTGTAGGTAGGATTATTAGAATCGTATATGACACTGTCTTTCGTCTCATTTGCATGGTAAAAAAATGCAATTTTGGTTCCCATCGTTTGGTCTATATATCAAATTGATCTCTAATATTCTGAGCAAAACAAATATCTTAGTTGTTTCTTCTCTTTCACAGAGTTGGTCTTTAATTTGGTATAATTAATTATTATTTTTCATCATGAATAATTAATTGATAATGAGTTGTATAATTAAATATCTTTTTAAAACATAAGCAATAAATACAATAGTAAATAAATTTGAACATCTAATGATTTTTTTTTTCATTTTAATAGGCTATTAGCTAAATTTCAAATGAAATAGGTGCTTTTTGAAAATACTTGAATCATTCAACAAAATATTCACGTACGCGAACATTAAAATAAAAAGTTTTAAGATTCTATTATTGGAACATTATTTTTTACAAGGAAAGAAAAAAGAAAAAAAAAGGAACTTTAAAAAAAAAATCCCTAAAAGTACTGATATCGGTATTTATTATCACTAGTTATATATACCAATTGAAGCCTACGTTCGTAGGTCATGCAAGAGTTTGTGTATCAATAGCTAGAATAACATTATATATTAAAATTTGAATTCTCCTTTCCTCTCCTCAAATAATTTCAATGCTAATATATTATCTCTATATTGTTATCCAACTATAAGTAATTTAGCAAATAAATGCCTTTTAGGCTAAAGGACATTGTTGTGCCAATATGAAGTGCCTTAATTTAGAGATTTTATGGGGATTTAGGAACTCATTTGCCATAATTGTAATGCATCTTACAAACTCTAATTATAGTTATTTGAAAGTTAAGGGACCATATTGATTGATTCTTTGCTCATCTTGAGCATAAACCCAATAGAAAAGAACCAATAGAGAAGAACCATACAAGTTGTATTACATCTCAGCATGGAGTAAGCTTTTAAGAGTTTGCTAGTTACAGTTATAGTTAGTTAGGTTAGGTTACAGACATGTAAAAACATATTACCTTGTCCGCCTTAGGAGCGAGTCCCAAGGATAATAATCATCTAAGCCTTTTGTCTTCCTTGCACATTGCCTACTTTTATGCTTCTCTTGCCATTTATCTCAATTCCATATAAATCCCAAATCAACCAAAAACTCTTATCATTGTTTCCCCAGGAATAGATAGAGAGGGAGGGATGGCAGATGAGAGGTGCGGAATAGGGCCAAATGTGCCCATCAAGGGAAGCTTAGAAAATCAATGTTCATTGAGTAGCAGCAGCAACACCAACAATGATAACAACAACAACAACAGCAGCAGCAGCTTGTCGATCGCGACCGTGATCGCGACTTACAACCACCATAACAATAATAATAGCAACAACAATAATGGCAGCAGCAGCAGCTGTGGCAACAACAGCAACAATAACAAGGAACAGGATCGGTTTCTCCCGATCGCAAACGTTGGAAGAATTATGAAAAAGGTGATTCCAGGAAATGGGAAAATTTCAAAGGATGCAAAGGAAACGGTTCAAGAATGTGTATCAGAATTCATTAGCTTTGTCACTGGAGAAGCCTCAGATAAATGCCAACGCGAAAAGAGGAAGACCATCAATGGAGATGATATCATTTGGGCCATCACAACTCTTGGGTTTGAAGATTATGTAACCCCCTTAAAGCAATACCTTAGCAAATATAGAGAGTTAGAAGGAGAAAAGCTTAATGTTCCAAAACAGCAGCAGCAGCAGCAACAACAACAGCAACACCACCAACGCCTACAAAACCATGACCAAAATCCAATTATGTCACCTTACCATAGTGTATATTCTTCAACAAATCTTCTCTCGCAGCCACCATTTGTTCCAAGTGATCAACCGTTTGCTTTGCCGTTTTCTCAAAGTTCAATTCAGACTCAATTACCACAGCAAGAACATATTGACTCCGTGGGACATTGGTAAAAAAAAAATTTTTTTGGTTTTTTTTTGTGTTTTTACTTATTTTAATTGTAATTAAGATAATATTGAATATGCATACCATTACAGCATTCGTTAAGAGGTTGGCAAGCATGTAATACCTACAATGTACTTTGATAGATATTGTTTCCGAATTCAGTAAAGGAGAACGTAGAGATAGATTTGGGCTACCTTTTGCATATTATGAATATGAATTATGAGATCTGTCATGTGTGTGACAAAGGCAATCTTCCTTTTTCTCCTTAAAGGGAATTGGATATTATGAATTATAAACTATGAGATCCACTCCTTAACTATGAGGCCAAAGGGTTTAATGCTTGGTAAAATTACTGGATGCTTGATCATCTCATTGGTGCTAATAAAGAAATAGTATCACTCTTCCTTTCATTTTTAATATATCATTGATAATTCAAGAAGTTTTGGGTATATATTTGGCTTGGATGACACGAAGGGAGTGTAGTTTCAAGCAGATTTTAGTGGATTTAACCAAAGCATTTAAATGCATAGGGTTTTTCCTTTGTAGCTTCTTACATATACTAGGTCAAGTGCAAGACACCCCTTAAAATTAAAGGTCAAAATTCACATTGCTCCTAGTATTCTAACATTTTGTTTGCTTTCTTTTTTGGTTGACTTATACCGAATGAAACCTACCGTCTTTGCTCCATGACATATTCAAAAGAAATATCATGTGCCATTAAAAAAAAGATTAATTTTTTACACACTATCATGTAAAATTTTTTTACATTAACAGTTAACAGTTGTGAATGTATGTCATATATGCAAAAGTCAAATTAAATTACGTGGCATACATCCAATGTCGCTCGTGTATACATTAATAGTGCATAAAAAAATTATCCTTAAAAAAATTGAAAATCCAAATGAATTATTTAGGGCATAGTAGTCTTTCTGCATTAACTCTTATAGAGTTCGGTATGTTAGATTGGACTTGGTACTATTAAGCAATTGGAATGCACAAGAAGATCATTAAATGTTAAATATATTTATTCTAATAAAATTTAGCTTAATTTCATATTGGATTTTCCTTTTCGTATTGATTAATTATCCTCAGAAAAGTGGTACCCTCCAGAACTTTGAAATTACAGTTCTATTGCTAATTTAATTGTAAGTTGAAATATCTCCTCTTAGTACTTGGCTGCATTTGGATTGGTCATTTTTTTGAAAAACAAGTACAATGCTACAATAATATAAAAACAAAAACAACCTCAAAAACACAAAAAATAACCTCAAAAACACCAAAAAAGCCTAAAAAAACCTCATTTACAGTAAAAGTTTTTCATATATATTGTTACAGTAAAATATTTCAAAAACACCCTAAAAAATAGCTAATCCAAACGGAGCTGTTTCTTTAATGTCCTACCATTGTATATCGTTGCTGTTTTTTCGAAATATTTCATATGTTAATTAAACCAATGTTTTCAAACTCAGATCTAGAAGCGAACCGGTAAAGTTCAGATGTTAGGGGTCAATGGGTCGATCGGGTCAGACCGGTATTCAAGAATGATGTGATAAATATATTAATAAAAATTTAATTATGGAACATTTTAAATAATTATAATTATATACTTAGGTGATGAAAATTATTCCATTTGTCACTCTATTTTTCTTCGCACATATTATATAATTCACAAATTTAACTCTAATTTGATATGCTAAAACTTCATAGCTTTTATTAGTGAGTCTAGAACTAAATTATTAAGACATATTTGAAGAAAAAAAGAAAATTATGGTAGTAAATTTAAATAAGAAAAACTTATAAGACAATATACAATTATTTAAAACATTTATGGGTCAACAAGAAATATTGAAAAAGCCGTGGACTTGAGCGTAAAAATTCCATCATTTATATCCTTTTCTCGAGCACTTCACCGTCGTCACTTTCTTTTCCCCTGCTGCCGCTATTCCTTCCGGAGGGTTGGCTTCCTCCGTCAACATCATCTTCTCAAATTCTTCATCTTCTTGTCCTCAGCTTTTTTGTTGTAATTTCTTTTCCGTCTCCAAACATACAAGTAATTCTTTTCCTTCTATCTCCAAACATACAAGGCCAGATCTATCAATTCATTTTTCTCTTTATTCCTTTGAAACCTTTCAATCCCTTTCTTCCTTTTTTTTCCCTTTCTATTTTTCATCTTCTTTTTGCTTTTCTATTTTGATGTTTTATCTATTTTTGAACTTAGATCTGCTGTTGGAGTTGTTTGAGACTAGAATTTTTTTTTTTTTTTTTTTACTTTTATGTTTTATCCCTTTTTGAACTTAGATCTTCCATTAGAGTTGTTTGAGAGAGGTAGGATATGCGAAGAGATTTGAGACTAATTAAAAGAAAGAATCAAAAAACAAAAATAAAAACAAAAAAGGAAAAGATGGAAAAATCTCGATACCAAACGGTTTTTCCTATTTTTCGATCAAACCCAGTTTTTGATCGGATTTGACCGAGTTTTGCTCGACGGTTTTTTAGGACAACTCAAACTGAATGCCTACTCGGTTTCAGTTCAATCAGTTAATCCGATCGGTTTGATCTGAGTTTTAAAACACAGAATTAAACACAATTCTTTGAATTGGAAGCACGCATAAATAATGTAAGAAGGATGTTTAAATGAGACTTTGAAGAGTTAAACTAACACTCCTCTACATGAAACCTCCCAGCTCCTCTTCCCCTCTTTGGCTACGTCTTTCGCACCTATCTTCTTGCCACCCTCCCTCTCCCTTTCTCTGTCTCGCGTCACATCTTTCTCCTCCCTTCTGTCTTCCCTACAACCTTTCTATGTGCTCTTTTCCTCTTCCTCCGTCCTTTCCTCCCCCCACCTAGCTGCAATCTGGTCGTGCAACTATATTTGAAGGGGAAAGGGGTCAGGTGTGGGATAAGAGGAAAGCCAGAGGGATGAGAGAAAGGAGGGATAGCGGAGGAAAATAGAAGAGACCTATAGAAAAAAGGTAGAGGAAGATGAGAAAATAGGAGGTGGTAGGAGAAAAGTGGAGGTGTTGGGGGGAGGGGAAGGAAGGGAGAAAGGAGGACGAAGGTGTTGCTAGGCAGTGGATGGTGTTAGCGGGGGTGGGGGTGGGGCGGTAGTGATTTTTTTCCTGTAATTATTTCTTTTGGTGTTTTTCAACTTACTCGAGGTTTCATTTGCATTGGCCTATTTTCAAAAATTAGTTTTTCAAATATAATGTTACAGTAATACAAAAACAAAAATGACTCTAAAAGCATCACATTCATACAATATATTAACAACAACTCACAGACATACAAAAAAATTTAGGAAAAATGACCAATTTCATCCCTCACATTTCACAAAAATATTATTTTCATCATTCACTCTTAAAACGAAGCAAATTCATCCTCGATATTTAAAATTGAAGTTATTAGATCCTGAAATCAACTTTCAATCTAAATTCAACCACCTAACAATTTGATTACAAATTTTGGAGATATAATTGGTAGATCACTTGATTAATTCAACTTGATATTCATATGAAATTTAATGAACTCAAAAAATAAAAATAAAAAATTATAACATAAAAAAGAAGTATTAACCTTTCCTACATTGTCATTATATATACTGATGAGTCTAAATACCTATCACATCATTTCAATTTCAATTTAAACACCAAACTTTGTGTGTATGGTATACATCTAGACTCTCAAGTATATATACTAATGGTGCATGAAAAGATTTGTTAAAAAAAAAATCCTACTATTCCAAGACAAAGAACGGCCTTTTATATTATAATTTTTTAATTTCTTTTCTTTTGTTGGTTCAATAAATGTCATATGAATGTGATGGAATTGACCTTGTGATCTATCAATTATATTCTCAAAATTCATTATTGGGTTATTGGATGGTTTGATTTAAATTGAAAACTAAGTTCAGGAATGTAACAGGTTCAATTTTTAAATGTCAAGGATGAATTCGCTTCTTTTTTAAAGTGAGAGATGAAAGAATATTTTTACGAAATGTAAGGGATAAAACATGTTATTTTTCCAAAAATTTAAACAAAAAGTTCTAAATATCTTTTATCTAGCACCACCATTGCCACTCCCCGTGCTTCTTCTTTTCTCCTCCTCTTTCTCCTTCCTCCTCCTCTCTTCCCCTTCTTTCTTCCTCCTTCCCTCTCCTTCCCCACCACCCTCGGCCCTTTCCCTTCCCCCTTCCTTCCTCCTTCTCCCCTCCCCTTCCCGGCCACACCTTGTCTCTCCTCTTTCCCCTTGATCTAGTGTCAACTAGACCAGAGATCGCAGCCAAATTTGGTCGCCATTCCTTTCCTTCCTCTTCCCCTTTCTTTTTCCTCCTTCCCCCCTTCCCCGCCACCCTTGCCCCTTCCCTCTTCCCTTTTCCTCCTCATTCTCCCATCCCCTTCCCCGCCACACCCCGTCTCTCCACTGTCCTCTCGATCTAGCGTCAACCAAACCAGAGGCCGCGATCTAGTCATGGCCAAAGTTGGTCGCCATCTAGTCAAGGCCATCTTAGGGGTGGCAGGAAGAGAAAGGGAGGAGGAAGAGGGAAAGAGGAATAAGAGGAAAGGGGAGGAAGAAGAGGAGAAAGAGGGAGGGGAAGGAGAGAGAAGGAGGAAAGGGGTGGTGGGTATGGGATGGTAGTATTAATTTTTAAAAAGTACCCTAAAAAATTTTTAAATTTTAAAAGGTACCTCAAAATATATTCCAAATATCCCTCCAAAAACATCATAAAAAAATCTACAATAAAAGTTTTTTATATATACTGTTACAATAAAATATTTGAAAAAACACCCAAAAAATAGTTAATCCAAAATTTAGAGTGTTATTGGTATGTGTTACTATTAAACTTCTATGCGAAAAACTAGTTTTTTAAAAACAGGCCAATCCAAACAGTTAGTTTTTTTTTATAGTATTGTTCAAAATTAAAAAAGAAAAAGTTGATTGAAAATTTGATAAGAAGCAAAGGCCAATAACCATGACTAGTATTTTGAAACTCAGACCGAACAATGACTTGATGGAGATTAGTAGTCAAAGGTCAATGGATTCAATTAAAAGAACTAGATGACATTAGCATGATGTCA